CCAACAAGCGCTCTCTCCACCCAAACGCTCTCTCCCTCGCTCCCCCAAACCATCGCCTCCGTCGCCGTCGCTTCAAACTCGCCCAAGCGACATCTAGCACCAGGGGCAATGGCCTCCCTCTCCCCCAAACCACTTCGACCTCGACGACGTCGCCTGGATGGTCCACGTGTCGACGTCGACGTGTCGGGCCCGGAGGATGCCGGAGATCGGATCCCAACGGCGAGGAGGTGCTCGTAGAGCAGTTCCAGAACGTGTGCTTTCTTGAAGAAGGTTCTTGTGGATCCAAAATGTTGACTCTCAAAGGTGAATCGATGAAAAGTGTGCTTCCCTGACTCCAGGGAAAAAAGGTCGCAAACACCTCGCAAGGTTTTTTGTTGCTCCGCACCTGAAAAGAATGGGAAACAAAACTGACATGCCATTTAGTTTGAAGCCATCATTGCCTGGAAGGTTTTGGCTCCAAATTAAGCGCTGCTTGCCCACTGTTCCCTGATTCAGGATTCCCTATTATTGCGGTTGCAGGATTCAGAGCAAGCAAATGTCATAAAGCCCAATGAGTTGGCATTTGAACTGGCTTGGCCACATTTGCTCTGGCAACTCCGAGCCTACTGAATATACTCTGTGCCAAAAACAGAAGTGTTCACCACATGCTCCAGTGACCAAGGTCTTTTGGGGAGACTCCTGGTCTTGCTGCGAGCATGACCTGCATCACTCCCCTCCTCCGGCGCCTGCTGTGGTCGCATTCACCAAAGGCCAAGCAGCGCGCTGGCCGATCAGCAAAGTTGGGATCAAGCTGAGCTGCCCTCAAAGGGGTTGCTGTCAAAGGTCAGGAAAGTGGCTACAGTAAGTTCTAGCAGGTTGGAGGCCATCGCTATTAGGTTGCCATTCAAAGGTCAGGAAAGCAGTGGCTACATTGAGTTCTAATTCGATATGATGTCTTCTCAGAGCAAGGCATCACCTTGCGAACTGTTGTTTTTTATGTCCGAGAAGGAATGGACTCGGACCAGCAAGTTCGGATCTTGCATGTAGAAAAGAACACTGCGGACCTTCCATGGCGGTGCATTCCCGACAACGTCATGTTCTGCCAAGACACCCTGTGTGCCTGCCACAAGGGTCTCAGCCACCTGCATCAGCTCCGAACTGAGCATGAAGAAAAGCATGGATGCTTCCTGCAACGAACCTGTGATTTAAAAAAACACGGACGAGTTGAATGAGAACCTACTACAGGATGCTATCAGCACTATCGAATACCCCATGAAACCGCTGTACTTTCCAAACTTCCAGTCGATCCCTCCTCCAAAACATGCTTCAATCAAAAGAAAAAAAGTGACAAAATACAAACTGAAAAATACCTCCAAACCTCCCCAACCGTCACTCCCAACCGTCGCCTTCGTGTCCATCTCCTCCGAGGCCTCAAAGTCTGCCACCACCAGCCCCACCGCGCCGCGCCGCGCCGCCGCCGCCGACTTCGCAGCGAAGGAGCACCGCCCACGACGCGCCAAGTGCAGCCGGGGCGGTGCCCCGTCGGGGCCGACGGGGCCGACGCCTGGAGGGCGGGGTGGGGATGAGAGGATGAAGGATGATGCAAGTCTTATCAATTCATACCATTCTGGGTATATGAGAGGATGATGCAGGATGAAAAGTTTCACTATGGTTGTTTGATTCACTGAAATAGGAAGCACTTGCAGACACGATCAGCCGCTCCTAAGCAGTAGCTTCTATGGGACGGCGGTCAATACAATGTGTCCAGGATAGTCCAGGAATTTGCTGGTTGATTCAGTTGGGTGATGTAGGCAGGTTCGCATGAGTTTTGTGAGGTTGAGATGTTTCTCGGATCTGGATATCATGCAGTTTGGCAAAGGATATTGATGTTATGACTGCTGATCTTACTTTATGTCACTATTCAAGCATCCGTCCCGTTCGTGACTGCCCAAGGTTAACGGCAAGAGATCGTTGAGACTTGCACGATCTAAATTTAAATCAGCTCCATCAGCTTCCCCTACTTAGCACCCAAACCAACTGGCTGCTTCAACTGGGTTTTGTTTCTGTGTAAGACTCAAAAATACCAACCCAAGTAACGCCCTCCATGCTTTAGTAGTGATTGGCATGTTTCAAGAAATGCCCGTCCCAGCATATGCCCGATACAAAAAAAGAATTGAAGAGTTGAGGACAATGACAATGTTGCGCAAGCACCAGCCAATCACAGCTTCAGCTTCATCAACAAAACATAACAAACTACCAGCTTACAACTGGAAAGTAGCAGTTTGAAAGCTCCAGCCATACCAGACTCAGGTTTCGGAGCCCGACTCGCGCGAGTCGGCGCCTGTGGCATTCGCCTCGCAGCCGTGGCGAGTCCAGTGGAGCACTCCCCAGATCCGCTGCTCCGGCGCGGGCGCAGCAAAGGTGGCCGTGGCTCCCTGGCATCGCTTGAGGTGAGCGTCGCGTCGCGTCCGGGTTTCCGCAGGAGTTGATGCCCGGGGTGGGCCAGTCTGCCCGAGGGTTTCCGGAATGGTTCAAGAAATGGTTTGTTGCTTCACATCTAAATGCTATTAGGAACATTGGGTGGTTGATTTCGGACACAAAACAAACCATGGATGACTTCGGAACATATTTTTTGCCTGAAGCTTTCGGCCTCGATACATCCTGGTGGATCGCGATCGGCCAAGGCTTCTCGGAGGCTCTCCGGAGACAGGACGCACAGTTGCGACAGCGGCTTCTCGACCGCGGCAGCCCACAGAGCCTTGGAACACAACACGAGAAGGGAGGGGACGCAAGCCAGCCCTCGCAGAGACTGGGAACAAGAAGAACATGAACTTTGAATTGGTGCAATAATCCAAGTCGGCCGATTTGGGGTGTCTCACATGGTTGTTCCGGGCGCACGCTCACCTCCCAAATCGCTGCTGGGATGCCCAGAAGATCCGCACGTGGAGCATCGAAGCATCGCTCGCTTTGGGGCGGCACGCACAGCTGGGAGGTGCCTAGACCTCTTGTGGTTCAGACAGTGCTACACAAGTGTTACACATGCGCTCTATGTAATCTGTGTGTTCGTTCCACCTTGCAAGGAACCTGCGTTGAAGCAGCAAACTCTACACAAGACTGACTGTGGATGTTCACCACTGTTCTGCTTTCATCGCCAATGATCCTTCGCTGGCAGGACCGGATCAACCCATTCAAACCCAGCAAAGCTTGCCACTTGGAGCTCTAGGGCGCTGATGAGCCAAGACCCGAAAACAAATTCATCCAGAGCGTCCCGTGAATGCAGCACTCCTCCTTGCTTATAGTCTTGAAATGTGTCAGGAAGAATAGATCCACCAGTTGTATACATAACGGCTGACCCACAGTCCCCTTAGGCCTTTTGGTGGTTCCTTTAAGCAGTTGTTCTGTCTTAGGTCCACGACCACCGCCATTGGTGTCTTTAAAACGCACAGGAGTGTCAGGTCCACGACCAACGCCCTTCACTCGCTCATCTGTTTGACCTAATCGTGGCCTCGACGGTCCTCACGCTGAGCTTCGGCGATGGGCCGGGCTCAAACACTCACGCTTCGCGGAGCTATTGGGGAGCCGAACGATGAAAACGCTGAGGAGCGCAAGCTTGAAATACAAAACCGATCAAAAATCGCCTTCAGTTTCCTGAACGACTTCCACTTGACTTCAATGAAGTTCGAAGTCAAAGTCCCCGTCTCGCCATGCGAAATCACCCGTCTTGGCTTCTTTGCGCCTGGAGACCCACAAGAGAAGACTACAAAACACTCGTTACTGCCGACTTAGTGCATATCATCGCGATGCACCTCGAGTCACAAGAGACCTTCTTTCACAAGCTATTGGTGCTCGTCAACCAGGAAGGTCGAAACGGACATGACCTTGGCCAAAAGTCTCTCAAAACCGATGTGCTTTCCCAAGCAATCTACCTCGTAAGGGAAGAAAATGTCAATGGTGATCTTCAGCTAGTCCAAACAAACAGAAGTTGGATACGAGTCCTTCCTCGAACAAACACGACTCCTATTCCCGAAAAAAGACCACGTCCAGAAATCTATTCGTACCACGTCCGGTGCTTGCATCGCCAAGGCACCGCCTGTGTCGTCATGACCTCGTTTTGGTGGACGACGGAGCACAACGAACGAAGCGAACGTCGGAACGAGCAACGGAAAGACGACGGGAACAAAACGTCGTGGGACTTGGAAGACCCGGGCGTTTTGTGTGGGTTGCCGGTGTTTTGGAGACCTAAAAAACGACCCTCAAATAGAGATGAAAAGCAAGTCGATCCCTTTCAACAGGTGGAAACCGTGCCACTAAGTCTGCTGTGGGGATCGCTATAAGTCTGTGGGGACTCCGGAAGAAACCGAGAGGAAGGGTGAGACGAAACACCACCAAGGCGTCGGCCATCACAAGCAAGCGCATGGCCAAGGTCAGCAGCCGGTAAGGCTCTTCGGAGGGTACCTGCGAGTATCCATCTAACAGCTCATTGAGAGGTGGGTCTAAGCACTAAGCATCTCTTAGCGGGTAGCTCAAGAACTGATCCAAACAAGAACAAGGAGAGGAAGGAGAACAGCTTCACATAGTCACCCAGGTGACAAGCACAAGAACCTCCTTTTTGAACTCAATCCCTTCTGAGACACCCACATGCACCGACACCGAGTTCAAAAGGATGATCAGGTGAGCACCTGTGCGACCAGGCGAGCTTCCAGCAGGGAGTCACTCCTTTTGGCAAAGGCGACCTTCTTCGGAGGGTCGGCCCTCTGGTGGTCACGTCCCAGGATTTGGGAATCAGCAATTCGAGTACCATTTGTGAATGTGTTATTTTTCCTACTATCCTTACTACACTCAAATCCACCCGGTGATTCTGTGGTCCATGTGCTTTTATGCATGACCAATATCAGAACAAATCGACGATCGACGATTCGACAATCGAAGATTGGATCTTGCACGGTATCCTTTCTCCACTGACCCACATCGATCCGACACAAAGGACTAACATCCCGTCAAACCACTTGGAGGTTCCTGAGTTATTTACTGTCAGCTGCCCGTGAAACCGCACCTATCGCATGGGCGATGCTGGTCATCTCTTGACTTATCAAGTGCCTGGCACCATGGAACAGGAAGACTTGAATCAGAGCAGATTCTAGTGGCTGGAATTCCTCTTGTTCAGTCTGATGCAAAAGAACGCGGAGTCCGCGTTTTCATGCTTTTTGCTGGAAAAATGTCTTCTTCGCCTCCTCAACGTTCGTGATGTTGATTCATACTCCCAGGGAGCAGCTGGAACCGTCAGCACACCCAGCAGCGAGGAGGAACCCCACAAGGTGCACCTCAAGCTCATCAGCTGATCAGCCTAGAGTCCAAACCTCCCCAAAAAAGGCCTCCATCAGCTCGCGCAAGGTGTTTCAAAGTTGTTTTAGCTTCATGTTTCTGCAACCTCATATCTTGGAGGACGAAGCTTCGAGTCTTTCTTTGTCCAACATGTCTTCCAGTCTTCCGGACCTGACGAATTCAGCTTGGGCACATGACCACAAAGCTCAAGCCTCGGCTGGTTCTGGGAAGGCAACAACACAGATTGGACCTGAACCCGAACGACAGCACCTGGACCTGTTTTTCTGCAGTTTCATGGAGATCTTTGCCACCCTGCACCCCAGTGTAACGGTGTGGTTTTTCACCTCCTCACGCGCTCGAAACAAAAGCAGAAAAAGCGTGAGTACTTGGCTGAAAGCCAGGAGGCCCCTCCAGGAGAGCTTATCTTCCAGAACATTGTCCACATCATCCAGCTTGAAAGCCTCGCAAATCACCGGTCGTGGAGCACAGGTCGTGGGGATCCGGGATGGGTTCTCCATCTCTTCTCGGTCCTCCCATCGGGTCCTCCCATCGGCGTCTCAGACACAACTCGGAGGGATCCACAGAGCTCGATGGATGCTCAATCCTCTTATTGCCAGAGCTCTTTTGAACGGACCAAGGGCCAAAAGAGCAAGTGCACACATGTGCATGTTTTGCACATGATTTGTGCGTGGAAAATCCCGCCGCGGTGGAACGCAAACATGTTTCGCGTTTCCCACTTGTGCTAAGTTTATGGTCTTCTCAGCTGGACATGATCAGACCATCACGAAACTTCAAACATCACACACATATCTTCACCTTGGGTTTCTTGTCCGCGGAGGGCGACAAAGACTGACCATCGGGCATCGCAATCGCACTCTCTGGGCCTGGTTGGGTGAACTGGCTGCTCTGCTGATGGGAACCACTTGGCTTACCTCAATCGATTCCACTTCGCTTCGAAACATGTCGAAACACTCGCCCTCAACAGACTGGCCTTCGCCTTAGGCCAGAACACATCTTTCTTCGGAACCGAACTCCCGCCCTCCGCCCCCCCGCCCCAAAAGAAAGGAAAAGTCCATCACTTCGAGATCCCGCCGAGGGAAAGGGGATTCTAGAAGAACCAAAAGGAAAGTACATCCCTTGACCCCCCCAAAAAAACAGACCACGCATCCCGTCGACCCGCGTCGATCCGTCGATCCGTCAGTCCGTCGGTCCCGTCGGTTCCGGATCCGTCCCGAGCGGCGCCGGTGGTCTTCTCCGTGCGCACGGCGATCTGCGTCCCACCGACCCGATGGACTCCTCGGCGGTGAAACACCGGTGGAGGCGGCGGAGAACACGAGGTGCTCCGATGGTTGAAGGACGGTGGAGGCCATAGGGGTGGGGCAGGAGGTTGGGGTGTTCCAGGTTTGGGCCAGATGGGTGGACCCATGTGGGTGGGCCATATGGGGATGTCTCATGAGTTTGAGGTTTGTTTCTTCATATCTCAGCGTTCACTGTTTTTTTTGACGTACTCATCGGTCTCGGCGTTGTCCAGGTCGCATGTCTGGTGTTTGGACAATGCGACCAGGCAGCTATTTAGGTTGGAGATCAAGCTGAGGCCAAACTGCTCAGTTCGCCTCAGAATCTGACCAGTCAGTAGGACGAATCAATTCCAAAATAGTTGAAGGTGTCATTGAAATAGTTTCCAGTGTCAATGTCCCTACTGAATGTTGCTGAGCAGCCACATGCATAAGCCCAAGATTGCTCCGATCAAATAGAGAACAGTGCCTGCAACTCTTCACGCAAATCATATTCATCTCTGAGATGCTGCTCTTGATGCAAAGGTCCTCAACTTCACCACTTTACAACACCATGACCATCATGACTTCCTAGTGTCACGTCAGTCAATCGCGGTCCAAGCATAGACCTCCCAGCCAAAAGTGAAGGCACACAGGGCGTGGTTCTTAACTGTCCGTGGATCAAACCATTTGCGCCAAACAACCACACCTTGGACACCAATCAAGGTGGTATAGCCTGTGAAGATGCCAGGGCCTCGGCTTTCTTTCCAGAAAAAGCCCGCTCAGTTCGCTCAGGCCACAGTCCAGCTTGGAGCCGGACATGCGCAGAACCAAAAGCCAATGCCGCCCACAAAGTTGCAAACTGAGGACCACCAAACCTGATGTTCGTGCGTCCCAGGGCGAAAATCCAAGCCTCCAAAATCCCAAACCACCCCAAAGACCCCCACAAAAGAAGGAGCAGCTTGGACAGCTACTAGTTCCTTATTAGTTCCGAAGTGAAGGAGAAGAAACCAAGACTTGATGAAAAGGGCCTGATGCAAGAAGCTCTTTCCTTCCTCTCATACTTATACAATTCATGTCTTTTTGCATACCTTTGTAACACCCGGAGCACGTCTTCCTTCGCACATCTGAGGAGCAAAGGTGTTGGGAGCTGTCGCCCAGCATCGGTTGTGGATGAGCTCGCAGCATCCGCCCAGGAAGAAGCTCAAGCCTCGTCTATTCGTCTTCGGATCCAGGAAGTGACACCACTGAGTCCAATGGAAACTCTGTCGTACTGAATCAGAAATCAAGATTTATTGTCAGATGAGGGAAGTTGCAGAAGGAAAAAAAGAAGAACGCTGGCCATTGTACTTCAAAAGGACTTGGCAGACGCGGAAAGGTGAATGTTGTGGAGTATTGCTGAAGTATTTCAGGAACTCTCTTCTCCGAATCAGGGAAGCCTCCAAAGACCAAAGGCCACCCCACCAAATAGTCATGCTGGTCCTGCCAAGCATGGTGGATCGGTGCGACGGCCACTGCACTGAAACGGCCACAGAAACAACGAGACCCTTCTGACTTTGGAAGCAGCTTGACTCAGTGACCTCTTCCAAGTCGAACATGTCTGCCACATTGGCCACTTGGTAGAGGATTGCCCCAGCCACATAGATCAGCCATCCTATGTAGACGCAAGACTTGAAATTCAGGGAATGGTCATTTTGGTCATTGATCATGCTGGATGGAATGTCTTGTAATCACAGTGTTCTCACTGAAAATCCCCATCTCCGACTTGGCTTAGCTGTCCATGTCCCACCCGGATTCAATCCACCGAATCCGGATCAACGGCAACGGCAAGCTGAGGCCCCTGACCGGCGATCGACGACAAGGGCTGGTACCAGTAGACCTCGCTGGAGCCTGGAACGCAGGTTCGCCCACCCAGTTCCCTCAGACCCCACGGCGCCCGCCGTCCATGCGACCTGGGGTCCGGGCTCGAGTCGCTGTCCGACTCGGCGTCGCCCCGGTCGCTCTCGCCTCGTTTCGGCGACACGGACCCATGCTGGCCTTTGGAAATGGAACGGGCTATGAATCAAAGGTTTATACTACCATGAAGAGGTGGTAAGGAAGAGCATCTACGCATCGCCTTCCTCTCGCTGTTGGAGAAGCCGGTAGAGCCCCTTCCAATCGCACCAGAAGAAGTTGGGGCCTCATTTCTCTGGCGACACCGACTGACCCAGAACGGGCAAACATGTTGTGTTGGAGTGTTCTGCGACCCTGTTTCATCGACTCGTATACAGCTTACCAAACAGATCCAAACAACCTCTTGGACATGTTGCTACTCAGAATGTGAGTTCGAAGCCTAGAGGCGGGTTAAGCTGGTGTCAGTGTCCATGTTGATCAGCTCAACATAGCCCATGTAGATCCCAGCTCCAAAAATGGTGGTTCCCATCAAGATGGGCATCTTGGCAATCCAAAACCTCAACGACTAAAGTCGGGCCCACCATTGGCACCATGCTTACAGGATCTTAAAGGCTCCAGGCACACTGCCAAATCTCCATGAGAAAGATTAAAACACATGTTCAAACTCAATAGCATTAACGGCACGTGTGGAAGCAAGTGGATTTGATTTGGAGACCTGTCCACATGTGAGAGCAACCTGTCACCAAGGCGCTCCATCCGCTCGGGAGGGTGTGCCCAGTAGTACTCAAACAAGGGCTGCCAAAGAAAGAAAAGGCAACCCTCAACCTCAGAAGAAATACTGAAATACTATAGCTACTATACGAGATGGCTTCAAGTATTCTACTTGCTATTCTTCTTTCTTTGTAGGCTCTTCACGTTCGCCAGCGTGAACCACTGTTCACACATGCACAAGGGGGCATGTCTAAGTATCACACGAAAAGTACTCCGATCCTCAGTGCCAACAAAGAGAAGCGGACAAGCTTCCGTTTTGTGTTCGTTTTGTGTGTGACTTTCACAAACAGGGAGTCCTTCAAACAGCAAATCCGGCAAATGTTTCCAAAAGAGCCTATCGCTAAGCACATCTATCCCATCCCGTCTGCCATGAACTGCATGGACGATGCCCCTTCAAACATCGTCCCAGAGTCCAATAAGCACAAGTTCGTCGAAAGTTGTAGGCTGACACCGTCGGATACCAGTACTCAAAGGTGCTCATCCTGCGTGACAAAGATTTGGATTGACATCGGTGCCCAATCCAAGCAAATGTAGCACGTGTAGGACGACCTGGCCTGTTCTTGATGTGGGTCGATTCCACATTTTCTCCTTTGGCTCCTTTGCTGTCGCCCTGTCCTGAAGCTAACTGTCTCGTAGACCGTGAGCGGCAAAAAAATGCCACAAAAATCCAACAAACACACCGGGAAAACATCTATTTGCAAAGGAGGCTCTCCACTTCAGGTAACTGTCCCTCCAGTTGCAGTACCTTATGTCGTCCAACGTTCTTCGTGCAAAGAATATCAAAGAAGATCCAAACAGATCGCCACCGGACCTCTAATATCGCCAACGAGAAACTCAGCGTGGTAGCCTCTTTCGATGAACTCCTTCGTGAAGTCATGGAGGTCGTCTACCTGATAAGTCGAGTGGTGGACGACCATGCCGCCCCCGTGCAATTCTCGAGTGGTGTAGAGTGGTGCTGGGTGGCAGTTCGAAAATGTCTGTAACCCAGCAAACACCAGAGACGAGACTCTTCTGAGACTCGTCTCTCTTTGGCCTCCAATCATTTCAGACTCTAAGACTTCCAAGCTATGTCTTCCAAGACCAGAACATCTGAGCTCACGACCGGACGCCGCGAGGGTGGCACGTCTTCGGGCCCCTCAGAGGATGATTTGGTCTGATCGTTGGATTTACGAGCAAGAAGCGTACTCAACAACTGCAACGCCGTGTGTGAACACACACTTTCAGCTGATCTTTCACAGAAAAGGGCAGCAGACGCAACACGCTCTTTTGATCGCGTCTGGCATGGGGTCGAGCGATCCAATAAATGATTGTTGAGAGATCATGAGACTGGTGCCCCCTGAACAGTCAGGCTGGTCATCAAACCATCAAGGTTGAACAACATGAAATCAAACACACAAACAGTCTGATGAACATCTGCAGGAGGAACTACCCAGTCAACAGATCAAGGATCCTCTCCCCCCCTGCAGATTTTCATCCACAGGGAGGGAGGGAAGGGTCAAAAACAGCCAGGGTGATCACCACTCTAGCCAAAATGGCATACGTGTGGTGTATCATGATCATTAGTTACCAAGACACAGCTGAACAGCAGTCCAAGAGTAACTCACCTATACCAGACCTACCTTACCGTCAATAGGTAACCTACTCAACAACTGCAACGCCGTGTGTGAACACACACTTTCAGCTGATCTTTCACAGAAAAGGGCAGCAGACGCCACACGCTCTTTTGATCGCGTCTGGCATGGGGTCGAGCGATCCAGTAAATGATTGTTGAGAGATCATGAGACTGGTGCCCCCTGAACAGTCAGGCTGGTCATCAAACCATCAAGGTTGAACAACATGAAATCAAACACACAAACAGTCTGATGAACATCTGCAGGAGGAACTACCCAGTCAACAGATCAAGGGTCCTCTCCCCAGGCCCTACGAGAACATGAAACACTTCGGCCACTCTGCAGGAACCGTACACCACCCCGCCTCCTGGCCTCTGTTCAGATCATTCCGCGACGGCCAGTCTGCGGGGTTTGCGTCCGTCGAGACTCGATCGATAAAAATCCTACAGCGGAGCCGCAGTGCACGTTCCCAAAATATAGATATGATCTCACAGACGTCTGATCTGCTCGAATAGCCCTTGATCAGGGCTGCTTCAACAGCTTCAGAGTCGATCAACAAAATAACATCCGCGTTTACGAGGCGATCGGCAAACGTTTCCAGTGCGAGCACTGGTGCCATCATCTCGATCGGGATGATTTGGGTTGATCTGTGGAGCCACTTTCTTGAAATACTCAAGGGAATCACTTCGGAGAACTGGCGGGGTTTGGTCAGTCTGCGATCGAACAGCACCGCCCCGACTCGGTCAGGGAGGCGAGTGGCGAGAGCCTCACGAGGATCAGGGGTGAAACCATCAGTAAAAATTACAACATCTGCACGCTTCGAAATTTGTCGATCGATCGTCCTGGGGGGGCCGGCTTCGATCAAAACAAGCCACTGTTTGAGAGCCTCCCTTAAAGGTAGATCAAGACCGAATTTCGGACCGAGCGGCAGACGCATATACTGACGTTCCGAGATCACTCTTAAAAAGGCCCTACCTACTTTGCCCCAGAGCTGGGAGGCCCCGAACATAAGCTTTCCTTTGAGCTTCCCAGCCGTCCCCGGGTCTAACACGTCTGAGCTTAAAATGCCCTGGATCTCTGCGGTCAAATCACTCCGCCGATCGGGCTTAATTTCGAGCTGCATTTCACTCAGGTTGTAGGTCACCCCCAGGATCGTCGGGGACGAGGACAGCTGCAATTTCTTCTGGTCAAAATGAGCTCCGAGCCAGGTGTGAACACATTCGGCTGCCAAGCGAGCACTCTTCACTGAGCCGAGCGGTTCAAACCCATACTTGTCGTCGTAAAAACTAAAGGCTACGAGCTTAAACAGTTTAACCAGAAATTCGTTGATAGCAGCCGACCGTCGATTGTAGTTATAGACCGCCGACACTAACCCGAACGAGTGACCGATCATGACGAAAAACGCAGGCTGATCAGTTTCAGGGTTCTTCAAACAAATCACTGAAAACTTTCTCTGATCAGGGCGAATGGCGACTTGACGATACGCCTTCCTCTCGTCCAAGACCCAACCGCCAAGCTCATCCTCTGGCAACTCCGAGCGGAGCCTCCTCAAGGCTGCCACGTTGGTGTCAGTGGAGGGGAGCTGCAGTTTCTCTGAGATCTCAGTGATTTGATTGATCAAATTTGTCGTGGCACTGTCACAACCTCTGACCTTGTTCTTCTGCACCACCTCAAACCTTTGTGTAGGGATCCAGTCATCACACTGCAGGAAGGAGGAGATCTCCTCTTCGGAAGCCCAGGGTCCTACACATGACCCTTCTTGGCAGTCTTCCAGAGTGGCCTCCCAGATCTTCTTGAGATTGTCAGTGACTGGGACCCCGTGAACACGAGACACAATTTTCTTGCGCAACTCCCAGGCCCGACCCAAAGCAACGTCACTGGGACCACCTTCTGTGGCTTATCGTAAGGTGGCCACCGAGTTGAACAAGCAATGGGCCCCACGATGTTGAACCCGTGGACCAGATCATTGGGCAGGGTGCGATCGCACGAATTGCAGGCTTGGAGCATGGCTTCGTATAGAGCTACATGGCAGACTTGTCCCAACACTGGTGTCATGATCATCACCACACCCTTTGAGCAGTCGACGTAGGTAGGGATCAGGCTGGGCGTTGATCAGCCGGAGCGACGCCGGCAACAGACGGTGAGCTTCAGCTTCCCAGAACTGCAGAGCTTGAAGACGTAGGTGAACAACCTCCGACACGTTCGAAACCAAGCTGTCAATGCTAGCCGCGATCGCCGGCTCCAAAACGACTGGCAGAGTGAACGGGTGCGTCACACGCAGAGCCCAATTGATTGCTTGTCCCGGCTCCATCTCGATCTCGAGGAGCGGCTTCTGAGCCCCACGCTTGAGCTGATACCCTGCACGCAGGGCCGCTTGTGCGGTCTGTGCTTGACGATGACCCAACCGCGGGCGTCCAGAACCAAGAGCTCGTTTCCGATCGGCAGCAGGGGTCGTCAACGCGAACGTCAGTGCCAAGTGAGCATCATCTTGTCTCCAGAGCCGGTGAATGCCGAGGGCCAGGACGCCGCACAGAGCGTGAGGGTATTCTTGCGCCAGCTTGGTGCGAAACACCATGCGTTGTCGACGAGCGTCCCATACTTGCCCTTTGAGGCGCACATGAGAGTGGTCACCCGGGCAAGTTTTCCGAGCGTCATCCAGGAACTCCGACGAAACCTTCAAACGAGTGGGTTTCACAGAAGGAGCACCGAAAATGCATTGGTCCAGGTCCAAGTCGATCGCACGAGCCGAGCTGGTCAGGTGGCGCATCGGCGGGGTGAGCCAGATCAAGCTGAGCAGAGGATTCTCGATGGAGAGGTCGCCCCCCGTGAAGAAGACCACAAGAGCCAGTTCGACCGAGCGAGCCAGAAACATATTGCCGAGAAACACCAATGCAGCATTGTCGAGCGACAGAGTTCCAAGTCCCATAGGCTTGTCCTTGGAGCGTAAGGGAGGTGGTCCATTGTCGAGCTTCCGGGCAGAGCTAAAGGTATTGCACGGCGTGCCCAGGTGCACAAAGAACAACAGACCCGCATGCGCGAGCTTCATGATCCGCTGCCAGAACTGTGCATCAAGGACATCGGCAATCTCAGGCACCCATTCAGAAAGCTCAACATCCACCGGGGGCAGGATCGGCATACCCAGGAGAAAAACGTGTTGTGTCAGCCGAGCGGTTCCAGAGAAAACTTCTAGAAAGAAAGGTCCGTGAACACGTACGTCTTGGAGCCGGAGAGGGACCTCAGACCACGCCCGCCACGGCCGAGCCACTGGAGGCGACTCAGCCGCTTGGCCCCCATGAAAATCCCCCGGAGGTGGGGCAAGGTCCTCCAGGGGGGGCTGCCCGAGCGTTCAGTGGTTCCCGTGCCAAGGGTGGCCTTGGCCACACTCAACACAGGCGTGCTTGTGCTTGCACTGATCACCAAAACGACAACCACTTGAGCAATTGTAGAAAGGACAACGGCGTGGACCTGAGTACTTGAAGGAATTGACCTTGGTCCACTCCTCGGCCGGGATCCGCGCATCACGAGACGGCTTGGGGCCGTTCGGCTTGTCTTTGCGAGCACCTGTTGGAGCGCTCTGAGCCGCTTTGAGGGACCGGAGCTGTTCCTACCGCTCTCGGCGAGCTTTGTTCTTCTTGGCCTTGGCCGTCGGAGCCGGCGGAGTCCGCGAGCGCTGTCTCTTTGTGCCCTGACCACGTGGTGGAGTGACCGGGCTGGAGGACTGTCCTGCTTGCTTGAACTTGTCCAGCTCCGCGCTCGAACGAGCGTCATTCCAGAGTTGCTTGTGGTTCTTG